GAACTTGACATCACATCGTCCAGCCAAGTGGTCACTCAGTTTCAGCAGATCAGTGACCCCCGGGCTGCCCTTGTCTTTGGCTGTCCCAACATCACTAAACCGTAAAATATTCAACTTTGTTTGAAAAGTACTGTATGCACAGCGAAAAAGCCCTATTTATTATTATTATTATTATTATTATTATTATTATTATTATTAATATTATTATTGTTATAATTATTACTACTATTATTATTATTATTATCATAATCATCATCAAATTATTATTCTTATTATTACTAACGGCGATTTTCTATTTCCTTCCTGTGGTATTTTTTAAAAATATCTTGATGACACTGTGTAAGGTGGCCATCATTCTAAGATTGTCACTTTTTTCCTTGAGAATGATGGCCATCTTAGACAAGTTTTGAAGGTGTTAGAAATTTGTTACTTATGCCAAAAATGGAGATAAAATTTTTTTGTGTGTGTACAAAAACTTGATTTGTGCAAAAAAGTCATGTCCATATTCAAAGAAGTTGTAGAAATTCTATGGCCTAAAGTCAAAACATTTCAGTCATTGCTAACAGATCCTTTTGACTCACAGATTGAATAGTATGGATTTTATTCAGAGCCCAAACTGAAGGAGGAAAATGTACTTTTAGATTGCTAGACAAAATAGCCCAAGATTTCATAATCAAAGAGGAAAAAAGTCCAAACCAAAATCAAAGTAAGGGTTTACATTATAACCGTTACATAAGGAACTTAGATGTTATCTCTAATGAGAGAGAAGTTTATAAATGAAACTAACACACTTTGTTAGGCAGATGTCTGATGTGCAGTGATGGAAAATAAAAAGTCCAATTAGTTACTAAGAACTTCTTGCTGATACCTTTGTACAAGAATGTCATCCTTGTGACTCTTTGGGCTCTTAAATTTTCATAATCAGTTAATCTTTCTTTTTCAATGTTCTTATTTGAGGAATACCATTGCAGAATGGTTGATATGATATCATTTTGTTTGTAGTTTCTATTGATTGTAAATACTTTATACCCAAATTGACACTATTCAGATCTTTCAGGAAGAAGACGGCATTGACCTTACCTATCACTGGGCTACCTGTTATTTTTCAGAGCAGAAAAATGTTGATAACTGAGAAGGTGTTTTTGATGCATATGAATCAAACATATATTTTTTGCTTGGAAAGAGAATAGCCTCACCTTAATGCCAAAGGTCCTGGACTGCCAGTTTTAAAAAGTGCAATATTTTTTACAGTGAATCTAATTCTGGCTTAATGCACTTTATATACAAAAAAGTTCTCTTGGCCACCAAGTAGTTTGTAGTTGGTTAGAGATTGTCATTGATATTTTGGCTCTTCCAGCATCACAGTGCATGAGAAAGACTGGATGCCAAAGGCTGAGCTGGTCCGTGCTCAGCAGGAGCTGGTCATAGTTGCGGAGTGTCTGGGTTCATTTCCCGTCATGAGTGAGGAGGCCACACGCCATGTTCTGCTGGAACGTTTGGAGAAGGCTGAGGTAGTGCACATTGGTGAGTTTGTCATTTGCCATTTGTCTTATGTCACACTAGTGAAATAGTGGCACATCTCTTACACTCTCCTGATTCCTAAGTAGTGACCATTTTTTTCTTTTGGAGCTCATCAAGGAAGATAAAATCTGAAGCGAGGGAGGTGCTTAATACTTGGGCAGTCTACTTCTTCTATGTCTGCAGCTGGGCTAAGGTGTATCACGTTTACTGTTTTAAAATAATTGTCTGTTAAGATACAATAAGTCATTTACATGAGGCTAAAACAGCACCTGGACATGGATGGCTGGTGCCTCTATAAATAAATCATTGAGGGTCAAGGTCAAGTCATTTACATGTAGGATGCAAGGCTGAAGTGCAAGTGTCTGGGGTTCAGCTCACCACTACAGTTTCAATGTTTCTTGAGTTTGTTGTCAGTCTACACTGTGGTCTTTTTATGTTCCACTCAGCCTGGATTTTCCAATACTGGAAGAGTCAAAGCAGTCTGCCCCCTAACTGGTCTACAATTCTTTGATGGGAGTATAACACTTTAAGAATCAGTACAACTTATATGGTATTACCAAGGTTCTAGAACTTAGACAAAATATTTAAAATTTACACTTCAGCCACATGGGCGTGCCTGAGAGAAGGTATCCTGCTGGTGACCCCTGACCCTGTAGACGACCAAGCAGAAGATAGCTCTCACCTGGTCACCGTGGCGGACCTGCTCAACACAAGCATGTGTGCCAAGCTGGTGGTGTTGTCCTCCTGCGGTCTCTCCGCAGCGCGCCATGAGCAGGAATGTGTCTACAAGCTGGCCAGTGCTTTTCTCTCTGCAGGTGGGAACCGGTTACATATTACAAGCCTTTTAAGCCTTAGTATCTAGCAGGCCAAGCACAGAGAGCATTCCATTGCTTGGGCAGAGCTATACAAAATTTAGATAACTCCTCTTTCAAATGGTCACTGACTCATTCCATAACGATGTTTGAGAACTGAAGCAGTGCTTCATAAAATCGGTTCGGTTTTTTTTATATCACCCTGTATAATAAGAATTGTTGTGAGAATTTTTGTTCATTGCAAAATGCACTGTATCCTTTGATATTAATCATGATGAAGTAACATTTCATTCATACATTTTTATAAGAGAATAAGTCTCATTTTTCTTAGTTTTGTTGCAGTCTAACCTGTAACACCTGCTTCTTCCTCTCTACTCTTCCCCTTCCTCCTTCCCTCCTTCTTCTGTCCATCTCCCCCTCCTCCTTCCCACCGTACTCCCCTCCTCCCCCTCCCCTCCTCCTCCCCATCATTCTCCCCCTTCTCCTCCCCTCCCCATGGTACTTCCCTCCACCTCCCATCCTCCTCCTCCTCCTCCTTCCCCCTCCTCCTCCCTACTGTACTCCCCCTCCTCCTCTCCCTCCTCCTCCCCCCTCCTCTTCCCCGTCCTACTCCCCTTCCTCCCCCCTGTCCTCTTCCCTGTACTCCTCCCCATTCTCTTTCTTCCCCCCACCCCTCGCCTCTCCTTTCCCCTCCTCCGCGTTCTCTCAACCCTCCTCCCCCCTCCTCTACTCGCCCACCCACAGGCTGTCAGTGCGTCCTGGTCAGCCACTGGCCCCTGCCCGACGACCTGCTGGGAAAGTTTTATTTCCACTTCTACCAGACCCTGCAGAACGGAGCCTTCTTGTCCGAGGCTCTGCAGGCAGCCGTGCAAGCCATCAAGGCTGATGATAGGTCAGTTTTTTGTGTATTGAATACACATATATTATTATTATTATTATTAT